TGCTGAAGCCACACAGGAAAGTAGAAGAGATGCCTCTCTAAACCCCTGCCACACTGTTAAGATCCAAGATATTTTCCCCTGCAACTACCCAACTCCAGCAGGGCCAAGGTCACCGAAGGTCTAAGCTGCTGCTGAGTTAGCTGACACAAAGGTAGAAGAGAATAAAGGAGAGCACCCTTCAGCCAGCCTGGGGAACCCCGACATTCGTGCAACACACGGGCGTGTAGTGTCTCTTCCAAGCAACAAGAGCTGCTGGGAACACCCACTGGCCACCGGCCCAAGAATAGGAGCGCTGAGAGGACCTCTGCTAAGAGGACATCTGCGAGTAACGGCGCAGGCAGGCAGGCAGGCAGGCAAGGCCTCCCGCTCACAGATGCAGTCACAGATAGCCTACTACCATCAGGACTGGCAAAGGCTGTGCAGACCAACAGAAACCCTCCAGGCACCGGCTGCAACCCCTCACCCCAATGACTCACCATTATACAAGGCAGAGTTCACCACGCCTCCAGCAACAGCTAACGCCAGGCCGAACTTGCCGATGGACTCAAACACTTTGGCAGCCATGTCTCCTCCTGCTGGACCCACTCACGCCTAGGGAGGTAAAAACAAAACAATCGGACCCCAAATGCTCAGAGAATGCCCTCTCTGAGGCACAATGCTCAATCCTGAAGTTGGCTAATTCTTTCCCCACTCTTCAAAGCTTTGAGTCATCCATCGAAGGACACCCAATAAATAACACTCTACAGCTTAGAAAGGTGTAGCATCAATTCCTCTGCCTTTTCCACTTCTTTTTTCCTTTCTCCTACCTGGGGAAGGAGAGGGATATCAAGCTCTTTGATGGGAAGGAGACATGGACTTGACAGCCCTGGAGAATTCAGCATCACAATAAACTACTCTTCCGTTTCTCGGACAAACAAGAGAAAGGCTGTGTGGTTGATGCTGTGCAATTTTGGTTGGAAAAATAACTGAAACAATGTGCTGCGTGGTGATTCCAGCAGCAGATGCAGCAGTGATGGCTAACTTTTACCTGAGACCGTGTCCTAAGCAAGTTAGTCCTCAACAAGACCCTAAGAAGTAGACCTTGACAGATGAGGCAACTGAAGCACCCTGCGGTCAGAAGAGAAGCTCAAGACCACACAGCTCTAAGTGTCCGAGCAGGATTGGGGTCTGGAAGTCTAATTCCACGCACAGCTTATCTCCACCACACTGCTTCTCAACTTCAGGCAGTAACAACACCTGGCAGTAAGGACGCGGGTGCTGGAAGACACGAACTCCAGCGCCAAGGTAACAGAACCACCAACTGGGCAGAGGGGCGTAAGCAGTCACACGGCGTGTGGGGTGGGGGGG